CCCAAATAGCCATCATAAGGTTTATTGCAACAACTATGTTCAGTTCTTTATATATATATATATATATATTATGTTCAGTTCTTTTTTTTTTTATATATATATATATAAAAAAATCCCTATCTCAATTTCAATCTTTGGTGATATATTTGTATTTTTTTTATAATCATTAGGATATTTATCAAAATTTCAGTAAGGTTTTCCTTTAAATAGATCATTCTCAAATTTTCTTAATAAATAAATTACACATTCAACTCAATATAAACATATAAATCACATAACTATACATGAATGTTAAAAGATTGATCATGATTGAGTGTTAATGAGGTAATTATATAGTTGCTATGAAGCCATGCATGCACACACACATAAAAGACAATTAAAATTAAAATTAACATAAACAATGATTAAAATTATAATCATAAACAATGGTTGAATAATCTAGTTAAAGTTTGTATGCACCTTCAAATAATATTAATTAATATACATGTAATAGTCCTAATTATTGAGAAAAACATGCAAATATGTTTACATATAAAAAAATATATTCATAATCTGTCAAAATACCGACATAGTTTTTACTATACCAAAAGATTTCAAATTATCTATCATGTCTTGTTACACTTCCATTCACATTTTTCATTCTTGATCTTATCATTTTGGATATCAAACTGGATCAATGATACTCATTATATCACTAAAGTTCACATGAAGAAGCTCATAAGTAATTATGCATTTTAAATAAATAAAAACTAAAGCATATACATATTATACCCGGTCTATGATAAAAAAAAAAAGTAAAGTAAGATGAAAATTACTCCTAACATGAATGAGATAGCCCTAAAAAATACATCAAATCATTATAAGTAATGAAACAACTATAAATAATAACTAGCACATTGAAAAATATCACCATATCCTTTTTTCTTATTTCAACCTAACAATTCAAACATTATTCCACAAAAATTGATTTCCTTTTAATGCATTTTCTCTCGTACTCCTTACAATATTGTTGATCTTCTAGAAATTGAACAACATTCATAACGTCAAAATCAATTACTAATAAATAACATTTCCCAACACCTTAAAAATGATCAATTAACAATATTTTAATTCTAGATCGCTAGTATTATTTTCTATCATTCCGTAAATAGCTAATCCAAATTTTGGAAATATGCCAATACAAGGTATCCCTTTAATATCATTAGCTTTTCCTATTTCTTAGGAATAATGAATTAAGTTTATTTTTGTTCTCCTGATTTTTTAGGGTTATGCTGATACTAATAAATCTCATTGGCATTTAGTTTCCCTTACTTGGGATCGACTAATCAAATTCAAAATAATATTGATATCAATATTGAGCCATTGATATCATTAGCTATCCAAACTCAAAATAGCTAATTAATTTTTTTTAGATACCGTAATTTGTTAATTGATAATATTAATGTCAATGACCACTTGACATCATTAGCCTCTATTCTAAGAATAACTAATCAAGTTCCATATAAATACCAATATCAATATAACCCATTAATATAATTAGCTATTTAATCTTGGAATAACTAATCAAATCCCTTGAGATACTTCAATTTATTATTCATTAATATTAATATCAAGAGCCTCATTGACATCATTAACCTCTATTCTAGGAGTAGCTAATCAGGTTATTCATCTAGGTTCTTTCTTTCCCTCTTTTATTCATTCGTTTATTTATTTTGCATATCAACATGGAATACATAATGAGTAAATTCTAGCGATATTAAAATGCAATAATTTAACAATTTATAAGTGTTAGGCACGTATTTATTGTGTGAGCTTTAATCGCGATTTCTTAATGCCTTTTGGATTCTACAACATCTCCTCTACCAATAAAAATTTAATCATAATCACATCCTCTTGAAAATTCCATTTCAACTTCTCATTTTCATCCCAACATAGCCAGCTATGGACTATACAAAATACAAAGTTTTTTTCTTTATAATTTATCTCAATTTTCTTTAATTTATTGGTAATTGTATAACTCATAAATCACAATCCAATCATATTAAAATTTAAGATTATAACTATGTGATTGCAACATTTCTTCATCATATTCAATTTCAATATTTAATTCCATTTCAATAATCATATGCATTATGCTACAATGCATAATTATACATAATTATAAATATTAAATCCATTTAAATCCATCCTTCCATTCTTTTTTACTCATCTTGCTCTTTTTACCATTAATTCACCAAGTTTTCTACTTTAATAATAACTGATTTCACATAATTCTTAAATTATTTTATCCCATTTACTTGATTTCACAAGTAATTTGTAATTCCCTCAAAATTATTCAAGAAACCTAATTAAGTAAAAATCTAAAATTTAACACTAACATGTTAACTATAATTTGTAATTCCCCCAAAATCATTCAAGAACCCTAATTAAGTAAAAATCTAAAATTTAACACTAACATGTTAACTATAATTTGTAATTCCCCCAAAATCATTCAAGAACCCTAATTAAGTAAAAATCTAAAATTTAACACTAACATGTTAACTATTTAAATTAATAAGAGCATTGAGGTTTAAAGGTGCATTACCTACCAAGATGGATATTTAAACCTTTCCTTAGCAAACCAATGTTCTCAATTCTCCTTCCTCATCTAATCTTCTCTTTCTTTCTATTTCTCCAACCATATCTCTCTATTCCTTTCTTTCTAATTTTTCAGACTCTATGTATGTCTGTCCTCTCTTCAATGTTTCTTTTTCACCCCTCACACCATGTCTCAAGAGTGAGGAATAAGAAATTAAAGGAAAAAAGAAGAAGATGAAGACTCTCTCTCTCTCTCTCTCTCTCTTCCTTCACAATTGCACGCCACTTTATAAAGGGAAAAAGAAAGAGTTTTTGTCACAATTGCATGCCAATTTATAAAGGGAAAAAGAAAGAGTTTTTGGCTTAATTCCAATCTTACCTTTGCCTTTTGTTTATATGTTATTTTACTCGAACTCTAGCAATATCACGGGGCCTTTAAAAACACCTATCAACCCAATGTATAACATTGTGTTAAGAGGTTAGTTCTATATCTTTAGCATGATCTAATAATCAGATTGAGAGTTATGATTGATAACATAAAACTAGCCAACAAGTAATTTTCACATTAAAATCCAAATTTATAAGTTATTTCACCTACTAAAATCATCAACATTTTTAAAATAATTAATTAGGGACTGATTTTTATGTCCGACCATGCACGCGACGGGTGGATAAGCATAACACTTGTCGGTGTGATTTGCACATTGACTGCCGCCGTCTAATGAAATCGTGGGATTAATGCATCGATACTTCTTTAAAAAATCCCCGTCTCCCTTTCTTTTGGCCCTAGTCTTGCTTCGATGCAGTAGGAGACACGTTAATTATGAATATTCAAAGAGCTACCATTATATTCCAAATTTCCCCTAAAATAGCTAAACTAAATGCTGGGATATTGAATAACGTACGTCGAAGGACCAAATACAGTACTTCCTATTTCGTAGATTTACTTGGGATTACTCTTCATGCAATCTTAATTGTAGTTGACTCCTCGCATCACTCAAGACGTACACGCAATGCTTTTTAGCTCGAAACTAAGTTAGACGTTGCAGCATACATTATAAAAACATCGGCTCATTGAATCTTCATTTTTAGCGTGAAAAATCATGCTTGGGTTCTTTATATTTGGTCTGTAGTTTCTGTTTGTGTTTCAGTCATACATCTTGATTTTCTTACATTTAAGTTTATGTGAGTTAATAGAAGAGTGAGAAAGTCCTAAAAGAAAGAGAGGAGAAAGAAAGCTTGGGGTAAAACATGTTCTAGCAAAATAAAAAATAAAAAATAAAAAATAAAAAATAAAAAATAAAAAATAAAAAATAAAAAATAAAAAATAAAAAATAAAAAATAAAAAATAAAAAATAAAAAATAAAAAATAAAAAATAAAAAATAAAAAATAAATGTTAATGAAATTGTCTTTGGGTATAAGAGTTTCTATATAGATTGTTTGGACATTCTATTATATTAAAAAAATATATCAAAATTCAAGATTTTTTTATTTGGTTTGATTTTATATTTTTTAACTGATTAGAGAATATTTTGAAGTTGAAAATAGAGCTATTGAACTCAATTAAAATCATTAAAAAAATTTATAAAGTGTTTTTAGTTTTTACTTAAAAAATTATGTGAATAATATTAAAAGAAATACTTAATTAAAACAAAAAAATGAGTAAAAAAGTGAATTCTTGCTAAAAACACTCTTTTTTCTTCATAATTTCAATTATTATCATTTTTATGAATATATATTTTAATTATCATAAAATTAAATTTAATAAAGTGCCATGCCACATCGTTGGGTACTGCTAGTACATTACTGTAAATAAAAAAAAAAGAAAAGAAGAAGAAGGAGAGGAGGAAGGTGGACGATACAAAAAATTTGGCTCCAATAGTCGTACTATGGATAAACAAACGACCAACCTCTATTATAATAATAATTACCTCCAGTTACCAACTCAAATATGGACACGTGTAATTTAAAGAAACAACACCGCCACGTACAATAATAATGCAATGATGAGCCATTACCTAAATTATTAGATTTTAAGTTTATTTTATAGGTTATCACTAGTTATTAATTTTATAAATTTTAAAATTATAATTATTAAATTTTAAATTAATAAAATTAATTAAAATATATAAATTAGTTTGAATATCTATATTAATAAAATAATAATAATAATAATAAAATTTATTATATAAAATTACGTGGTTGCTAATATTAATACTCACTGAAATATATGTTATTATTAATTTTAAAATCTGTGAATATTAATCAAGTCACAACTGCGATGAATAACCTGTTTAATAATAGTATTTGACACTTAATTACTCTCATTAATTATGTAAATTACTTAATAAGCCCTTTAGTTTTCCGTTTTAAAACCTAGTCGTTGTCTTCCAGAAAGAAAAGGACAGCCGAGGCAGCACCAATCCCATCACCTTTTCATTGTTTTGATTCCTCAGCAGCCTCTTCTTCTTCTCTCTTTTGAAGTTACTTCTGCTCTTGAACTTGGTTAGTTTAAGTCACCCGATTCAGGCTGGACACGTTTCTTACAAACCACTTACATGTAATGAGTACTGCTTTGATCACCATTAACTCAGTAAATATTCTGTCACCGATCGTTTGAGTCTCAATCACGATCACAGCCGTTGATCAAGGAGGAGAAATGGAAAAATCTACGGCTTTCAGGGAAGCTTACCTCAACGGGAATCACCATCATTCCTTTTCTTCTTCCTCTGCTTCTCATAGACATGTTAGCTACAGGTTCTTTCTCTTCCTCTATATATGGATCCTTTTTATATGGGGTTCTTTTTTTGGAATTGAAATATTGTGTTAATGATAGGGGCATTTTTTCTTTTTTTGTTGTTGATTCAAATTAGCTGACTGTCCTATGCTCTCTGTTTTATATTGGAAATTCACCGTATTCCATTCACGTTCAAATTGAGGCCGTGTAGGACATCTGATTTACCATGCTTGGCTTCTCCATGATAGAACCCAGGTTTCTTTTCAAGGTTCTTGATAAGCTTGTGAGAATTGATCTAAATGGATGTAAAATATGAGGCTAGGTTGATATTTGAATTCAACTCCTAAGCTTGAGAACCAAAAGTCGTCGTCTTCTTTAAGTTTTGAACAATGTCTTGGGTGGTTAATGCTGATACAGAACTTAAACATAATTCTTTAAAGGGTAGCAGGACAAATGTTATGACCAATCAAATGAGGTGAAGTTCTTTTCTACATCCCCGTGGTCCTATTAAAGCGATCGGATGGGTTGTTGATCCTCTGTTGCCTTTTTTATTGAAACTGATGGAAAAAATGACTAGAGAGAGAGGATAGGATAGAAATTTAGTTTTAGTCACATTAACATATAAGACAGTATCCATCCATAGACATGTTATGTGCTTTCTAAAAATTCTTTATTGGATCATTGTGGATTTGGTTGTTTCTGCATTGGTTGTGTTTTTCTAAGGATATATAGAAAATAAAATGGAGGAACTTTGGTGCAGCTGCGGTATCTGCGGGTATGAGTTGAACTTGAGCTCCTCCAATCGAAACACGTCAACAATTGGCTCTAAATATGGGAAATCCATAAAGCGGGGGAAAATCTCATTCTTCTTGATCGATGAGAGTAGATTTACTCAGGTTGATGAATTCCAATGCTTTCCCTTCTTTTCAAAAAACTCCCTTGGTTTGTTCCGCCAGAGAACTGCACTTCTTTGCCGCAAGTGTGGTAATCACATTGGAATTGCTTATGCTGATGAAGCTTCAGCTTATCCACTTGTAGCAGACGGATCTGACTCTTCCTCAGTCAGTGAAGTTTTCAAACGTCGAAAATATGATGTTAAAATCCGTGCCTTGCAGCCTTCTTCTGCCGAGCAGTTTAGCATTCCACTTTACACCTGATGTATTGGAGCAAGCCTCTTCATGTTTTATGTCAATCAAATGATGTCAATTAGACGTCAAAAACTATGCCAGAGGTTTTCCTGTGACACTTTCATGTATATACGTTTGAGTGCTCCTTTAATGTTGTTCTTTGTGTGTATTTACTGTCATATATTAGATGGTGACTTGCACAGAACAGTGTTCATGAGCATTAAAGAGAGCATGGTAGAGTTTGAAGGGGCCAAAGTCCATAACGAAAGATTTGACTGTAGAATAGTAGTATGATATAAAGAATCAAGTTAAACGCACACGTCCTGGAAGTGTTGGGTTTTTGAAATATATATACACACTAAAAATTATAAATTTAATTTTTTTTCAGGATTTCCAACATCCTGTTCGATAGATCTTTGAGTTATTTAAAATTTATTAAAATATTACTGAAAAATCATTTTTTTTTTAACTTTGAATAATTATTTTAGTGATTGGTTGTTATAAATTACAAGTTATTTAAATATTCAATTTTTAATAATAATTCATACAAACTATTAAAAAGAAATCTTCTAAACTCTTTAAAGAGAAAACTATTATTATACCTTTGAATATTAACTATTTGTTTTTTTAATGTTTTAGGTGTTTATGTAGTGGCCTCTATTCATAAGAAATAAAAAACATAATTTTTTATTTATAAGAAAACTTAAAAATTTTATAATTGATAAAATATCAATTTACTCCTTGAATAATATCACATATATTATTTTAAAATAATTTTAAAAATCTATTCAATCAAGTTTCTACTTGATTTTTCTAACTCTAGAATTGTAATTTCCTATGTAAGTTACATGCTAGTTCTTAATTTTTAAAATTTATTTATAATCAAGTCACATTTAATTAATCATTCATTTTTAATTTATAGCCAATGATTTTTATTTGTGTGACCAATTAGATTCTTTAATAAGTCAACTCAAATATAAATTATAATTTTAAAAAAAGATTAAATAAATTAATTTATTATCAATTTATCAATTGAATAATTTATATTTGAAGATTAAATACAATGTCTAACAGCCTGTTATGATTCACAAAATATTAGGAAAGTCATAAGTAATTTGATTTAACCTTTTGTTATGATTCTCAAAATATTAGGAAAGTCATAAGTAGTTTGATTTAACCTTTTAGTAATTAGTTTCTTAGTGTAATTATTATTCATTCATCAACGATCTTTTGATTTAAACATTATAGTATAAAGTGTTTATTTTGTCAAATTATATTAGTTTTTAACAGCATAGTCATTGATTTTTTAAAAAATAAGATTTGAAAAGAGTTTCAAATCTCATCCACATTGCGAAAGGATTTATAATTAATACGATTTAAGAACAAATAAAACATTTTTCTTAGGTCACCCAAAGGGATAAATCTTCTTGTTATCACTCAAATACCTTTATATAGTTCTTACTCAATATCTACTTATTTGTTACCTTTGATTAGAACAATATGTAGCAAGATTAAAGCATAATATTCTTAATATAAGATAACTTAGTGATTCAAGTTTAAGGATCATTTACATAACTATAACATGAGTATTTCCATAAAAACAAATAATCTCTCTATATAAGATTCTCATACGAGTTAGTTCAATGTAATTTTATTTGACAAGCACCTACATAGTAGTTTTAGATATACCTTATGTCTCTGCTTTTGAGAACAATTGCTTCATTTCATGAAAGAAAAAATAATAATATGTATCAATTTTAATAACTCTAATTAATATTCAATCTTAATAAAGAGTTGACCAAGAACATTTTAGGAACAATGATTTGATACAATATAAATTTCATAATTACAATAATTTTATAATTTTCTTTGCAAAAGATTTTCATTCTAAGAAATGTATCGTTACTCTAGATTCATTAATAAAATATTATATTCTTTAATAAAATATTTGATAAATATTAAATTTAAATAAACAAATCAAATATATTTACATGAATAAAGACAATGCCAAATGCAACCAACTATTGACTACATGACATAAACATTAACAATCTCACTTACACTAAAGTCAATCACTCATGAATCAAATATTATAATGCTTTACTTGACAATAATGCTTTTACTAGGACAATGACTTAGTAAAAGAATCTACAATATTCTTTTTAATAACTACTCAATCTATCTTTACATCTTTTCTTTATATAATTCTCTAATCAAATGGAATTGTCTAAGTATATTTTTAGATTATTGACGAGAATTTGGTTCCTTTACATGTGCAATGGCTCCATTGTTGTCACAATACATAACTATTAGATAAATAATACTAGAAACCACACCTAATTCATTGATAAACTTCTTGATCCAAACAATCTTTTTTGTCCCCTTAAACATAGAGGTATATTCAATTTTAGCCGTAAAATCTATTTTGATCTTTTATTTGGAACTCTTCCAGCTCATTACCATTATTTAGAGTAAAACACAATCTAATTGCATTTATCATTTTCAATATCTGATTGAAAACTATCATTCAAATAATTATAAACTACTAGTTTATCTCATTCATAGACTAGAAAAAAATTCTTATTTTTTCTTATATATTTAATAATATTTTTAACTATCTTCAATAAATCTTACCTAAATTAGATTAATATCTACTTGTTATGCTCAAAATATAAGATATATGGTATTGTACATAGCATCACACATGTTATGGATCTTATATCCATAGTATATGAAATCATTTTCATCCTATCCCTCTTAATTTGTGTTTTAGAACATACATCCTTTGAGAGAGTATCATATGTGAAATATTAAATATTATCTTTTGGATCTCTCATGCTAAATCATTTTAGCATCTTATTTATGTACTTGGATTGGAACAATCCAAGCAACATTTTATATCTATCTTTATAAATCTTTATTCTTAGTATATAGGTTGTCATTTCCTATTAATAATATGTTGTTTACATATAATTTTAGACAAACAACTATACTTCCACTAACCTTTTTATAAACATAAGACAACTTCCACTAACCTTTTTATAAACATAAGTCCTATAAATGAATTTGTATAACTTGCATACTTTTTTGGAAAATTTCTTAGATTGAAAACTTTCAAGTTGTGTCATATATATATATATATATATTGAACATTTTTATTCAAAAATATAGTTTTGATATCCATTTGCCAAATATCATAATCATGATATGCAACTATAGCAAGAAAAATATTTATAGACTTTAACATAGTTACCAACTGAAAAGTTTCATCATAATTAATCTATTTATCTTGATTTGTAACCTTTAACAATGAATTTAGCTTTGTAAGTTTGTACATTGCCATCCATATCAGTTTTTATCTTAAAGATCCATTAACATCTAATAAGTTTTATCCCTTCAAATGGATTAACTAAGGTTCATACCTAGTTAGTGTACATGAAATTCATTTTAGATTTTATGGTCTCAAACCATTTCTTAGAATTAATATCAGATATTGGTTTTATGAATTAATAGGCTCAATAAGTATAATCAACTTGTTATTTTCAACTTCTATGAAAAGTCTATATCTTATTGGTGCATGATGTGTCTTACCAGATCTACAAAGTACTTATATTTTTTAAGCTTCAAGCTGAACATCAAATGTTATAAGCTCATGCTCAAGTTCTATTTGGATATCGGTTTATGATTCTTGAACTTTTTCAAGTTTTATTTTTCTCTTATTGTTCATTTTAAAAACAAATTATTTCCTTAAAAAGATAGCATATTTTAAGATATTTTTTTTTTGCTTAATGGGATGATATATATAATATATATTACTCACATTTCAAATCTTTATATATGATAAGATTACTCTTTTACCATTCCATAACTCATATGAAGTCTTATCAATAGATTTTGATGGAATTCTTTTTTAAAGGTAAGTGGTAGTTTATAAAGTATAGCCCTATAAGAAAGGTGAAAGGTTTATTTAGCTTATAATAAACTACAACATATCCAATAGGGTGCAATTTATCATTTTAAAAACTCTGGTATGTTGTGGTGTTGTAGGAGGTGTCTATTATGAGATAATCTCATTCTCTTTTAAATAATCTTAAAAATCATGGTTGAAGTATTCTCCACATCGATCTAATTGAAGTATATTAATACTTTTTCAGTTTAATTTTTTTAACTTTATTTTTAAATTCTTTGAATCTATTAAATGATTTAAACTTTCATCAAATATATATAACCATATCCAATATGGTCATTAATGATGAAACATGTATATCCATATAATGCACAAATCATTATTAGTCTATGTACATCTATATGTATTAAAACCTAACAATTCATTAAAACTTTCATTCTTTCATTAAATGATGTTTTGGTTATCTTACCCAACAAACAAACTTTACAAGTTTTATATGATTCATAATCAAAAGGATTAAATAACTTTGTTTTTATGTAACATGGTTTATTGATATGATCTAGTTTACAATACCATATATAATATGGATATTTATTTTCTAATATATTATTCTTGCTATTTATATTGAACTTGAGCATTTCAAGATTAAGTATATACAAATCATTTGAATAAGTACTAGATCTATAATAAATATCATTATTATAAAATGAAATTTTTTCCTTAATAATAATTTTAAATCATTTGTATAAGTACTACATCCATAATAAATATCATTATTATGAAAAGAATTTTTTTTCTTAATAATAATTTTAAACCCATTTAGAAATGGATACGATGTTTTTAGAAAGTGCCAGAATAAAATAAAACTCATCAAGTTCTTGTATCAACTCAATAGGCAAAGTTAATGCAACAACCTTTAATTCATTACCAGTTTGTAAGTTCATGTTACTTTTATTCAATCATAAACACACATGAATCAAAAACTTCAATAAACTTTTTAACCCTCGTGGTTGCAAGATACCCCTTACAGTTCCTCTTATAATGGCTTTCCTGGATACAATGATGACAATTCCTTTGTCATTCTTAATGCACTAAGTAGACTTTTATGCCTAGATTGCAAGACCAAGTCAACACTTAACTCATGGTCCATGACAAAACTCAATTGATCTAATTTTTTAAAATAGTCAATCATCCTCAATACATGGGTGTTTATCGAGGAACTCTTTTTCATATTACAATGAAACAATTCCTTAGAGGTATCATACCTCTCAGTCCTACTAGTCATATCAAACAACTCTTTGAGAAGCATATTTATTATATAAGCATCCATATTCTCATATTGTGTTTGAAGTTTAAGTGACATGCTAGATAACATAACACATGTAGTATGCTCATTGTCATCGATATAATAATGATATTTAGTCTTATCTTCATTATTAGCATTCTCATTAAAGACAAGAGGAACTGAATTTTTAAGAGCATATAACCTTTTTTAAGAAAATACCCTAGTTGCAAAACCAAAATCAAAATTACCATTGCAAAACTAGCTTAGTACAAGAGCTTCTGCTATTAGTTTTTATCTATAACTTTCTTATTTTGATCAAATGGCTAAGCTTTGATCAATCTTTGAAGGAATCCTTAAAAAACCTAGAAAAAACCCTATAAATACCCTTATAATTCAAAGAAAAAAAAGTGAAAAAAGAGAGAGAAATACTAAGAAAATACCTTAGTTGTAATGGTTTATGAGCCTAACATAAGGTTTTCTTCATCTTTGAAAGGGTCACAAGTTTGTGAAAATAAAACTTTACAAAGAAAAGTAAAGAAGGACGATAATAGCTCTAGGGGTGTGAAGGTATATTTTTTAACCTAAAAGTGGAGTCCATATGGCCTACTTGATTTGATTTTGATTGTCATTTTATTTGTGTTTATGTTTACAAGCATGGAAACATATTTGAAATGTTTAAAAAGTAGAAAGGTGCTCGTTCTTTCTTTTTTTTTGTTCCAGTTTTTTTATTCTATGGTATGTTGTTCTTTAAAGTATTTAAGGATGTGTTTGAATTTTTTGATGTAATAAAAGCCTTCTAGTTAGTTAGTTTTTGATAAAATAATGTTTTTGTTTTCTTAGTTTTGTTAATGCATTAATAAGCCATGCCATTAATCATGGGTTTATAAGGTTTTGGTCATAACCAAAATATGTTTTGAAAATAATTTTTAAATCTAAATTGCATGGATAAACTTAATAAGATTTCATGCATGTTTCCTATGCTTTGTTATTTTTAGTTATTGGTTTTGATTTAATGATATATGATATGACAATGTGGTTTATGTGAATAGAAAAGATTTGATTTCAAGGCTTGGTTTGCATTCTTGGGTTTGGTAGTAAGCTAATCAATTTCTGGGTAAAATTTAGGTTAGTGTTATTCATGTTCTTTCCAAGAATATTGTTTTAGCTATGATTTTTTGATCTATTTTATTTTATTTCTTTTCATCTTCACAATGGTGTGACATCATTCAGAAATAATATAAAAATGTGTTTTATTTGGTGTGTATACAACAAAGTCTTTAAAAAGAATCATATAACAAATAAAAATATATGGTAAGTTTTAATATTTTTTATATGCACAAAAATATCTTTGCATATGTTTTTGGATTTAATAATCAATTTATTAAATTCATAAGAACTTGACCAGTATTTTAATAACCCTAAAATTTTTTATTTATAAGAATTGATGGTCAACACCCTGATATAAATGTTTGATATCAGGGTAGACTGATATTTAAATATCAGGAGTTGACTAGAAAATTTTTAAATTTTTTTTTAGATATTCACCAATTTTAATTGGAAGTATTTTCACCACAATATATAAATTGTGAAAAACTCTTTCATTTTTTAAAATAGATAAACCCTATCAAGGCACTTATAATGATCATTTTCATTTGAATTTATCTTGTTATACAAGTCTATAATAAATTTAAAATATCAAATTTATTTATAAGAGTAAATGTTTATCCTAAGCTATAGGCTGATTATTGATTAAAAACCCAGTAAAATCTTTAAATATATAAAGACCATACATCCCAAGCTATAGGGTGATTATTAATTAAAAACCCATTAAAATCTTTAAATATATAAAGACCATACAATATAGTCTATTTTAAATAAAATGTACTAGAAATATTAATTTTTTTTTTATCTATAACTATTTCTTTACCCTAAAATTTTTTATAAAACAAATATACCTAAATCTTCTAGCGATGATAAACCAAATAGTTTTCTTAACCTCAACGCTGCTTATCCATATACGAAACTCTATGCAATGATTTCTTACACAACCGGTGATAATAACGTCGGTGCATAGATTAATCTTTGTACTGCACGCATCATTGAATATGTCACGCCGATAAAAATGGCGTTCATGTAGAAATTGACCATAAATCTAGGTTTGAAAGGTCTTCCATGATTGCGAAATGTTGGCATTTATAAACCCTAGATATAATCCCCTCTCAACGTAGCTCTCATCTCAAAATTTCTTACGGAGTTCTCTACCACTAGCTTATCCATGACGAACATCTCCTCTCTTTGCCTCTTTTTTTTCACTTTACCTACCATCTTGAACCCGATATGTGCTCTGAAAAGTTGTGAGTTCCCAGCTATCTTTAACTTTGGTGACTCAAATTCGGACACAGGAGGATTCGTTGCTTCCTTCCCTCCTCTTAATCCCCCCTATGGAGAAACTTACTTTCAAATGCCGGTGGGGAGGTTCTCCGATGGACGGCTGATTATAGATTTCGTCGGTAAGTTTCGAACCTTTAGGTCCAGCTTAGAACAAATTAATATCATTGCCTAATTTATTAGTGGCCATATGAATAGACATTGGCAAATCTTGTGAGGTTATAGAACTGACTCTGACAAATAGATAGGTCTCTGAATAGGACATAGTTAGCGATCAGCCGCTCAAATGCCTTATTCATTGCTCTCTTCTTAGAAACCCTCTGCGTCTATAAAGGACAAGGAGGGACGACGATTTTGTTTGGAAACGAGGTGTAGATTGTGTTTATTTAAATTTAAATTTTTTTATTTTTTAAAATTATTTTAATGGGCTAATATTAAAAATAATTTTTTAAATATAAAAATATTTTTTAATATATTTATAAATAAAAAATACTTTAAAATGCTAGCACAGTACTAAATAGAACTATAACTTAGCAACATTGGTCACAAGATGTGTTGTTTGTTGACGTGTATTGAAGATTTTGGTGGGGTTTACTGGCTGGTAATTATTATTATTATTATTATTTTAAAGAATTTAATTATTTAAAATTTATGAGAATTCACTTTACCACTTACACGTTTCACATTAATTTGCATGAAATTTAATACGAAAAAATTGCTTATAAATTATTTTGCTTTCTGATAGAGTGCTAATTAATGGTCAGGCCATAAGGATCCCTGGACACTTATTTTTCGTGGGTAGTCCCAACTGCCATGTACAAAATACTATACTTTGAGACTTGGAAGAGTAATATTCATTTATTTTCATATTGTTTGTTTTTTTTTGAATAGCTAATAGATATTTTTAAAAAATATTTTAATTTTAAATTTTAAATTATTAGATAATTATTTAAAATATAATTTATATTATTTTAAAGAAATTATTTTACTTTGAAATAGGTAGAAACTCATTACTATCTTGTATTTAATTTTATTAAATAAAACAAAAGTGATGAGATTTTAATTGGTAACTATTTGTTCAAAAAATTCTGATATTATATTAAAAAATTATTATAATTTAAAAGTTTAAGTGAAACTTTAAAATATAATTTAGAAAAATAATGTTTTACTGACAATTGAGTCTATATATATTGTGATGTATCAGCAAAGAGTTTGAATCTCTCATTTCTTAGTGCTTACCTCAACTCTCTGGGGACCAACTTTACTGTCGGAGCAAATTTTGCCACAGCATCATCCACCATTACATTGCCAGCTAGGATTATACCGGCCAATAATGGATTCAGTCCATTCTACTTTCTAGTGCAATATAATCAATTCGTGCAGTTAAAGGACAGATCACAGTTGATTAGGAAACAAGGTAAGCATTAATTAATTAATTAATTAATCTGGAATTTTGATGTTCAATTAATTAAGATATAATTGGCAATAAATTGAATTTCTCGTTAAGCCATGATCTGTTTGTAGGAGGGGTATTTGCACAATTGATGCCCAAGGAGGAATATTTTCAAAAAGCTTTATACACATTCGATATTGGTCAAAATGATCTTGGAGCTGGATTTTTCGGAGATATGTCTGTTGAGGAAGTAAATGCCTCTGTTCCTAACATTGTCAATACATTCTCGACAAATGTTAAGGTAACAAGTTTCTATGCCCTTTTCCTCCCCAACATCTGTTATTCTGAGTTTTTGTCTTCACTTTTCTTAATCGTAATTCATAGTGTATGCCCATTACCAGTTATTTTATTTGAAAATAAACTAGAGTTTGGTTTTCTAGAAAATAAAAGACTTAGTCTATTAATTAAGTATTGTGGTTGGATTAAATAATTTAATCTATTGATTCAAAATTGATCAATTGATTAAGTTGGCAGAATACATTTACTATCTAGTTTATAATTTTTTTTTTTGTCTAGAACTTGAAATCTATAAATAAATTTATAATTAGAAGTATAATTCAACAAGCGTAGAGAAAAATATACAAGAAAAAACACTTAATAAGATTGTTTTTCCCCTCGAATCTTATTTTCGTTATTTAATTTTGCTTATTGTTTTGTTGTTCACAAACACCCACCACGCCTGTTTTTCTTCTAATCAAATGATATCAGAACCTATTTTTTACTGTTTTACATGGCCAGTACAAAATTTCCACTGATATCTGAATTCTATCCCTTCTGCAATCATTTTATCACGTAGAAATATTATATGCATCTAAAACATGATAGTTACCTTGATGCAGAGCATATACAATTTGGGAGCGAGATCATTCTGGATTCACAATACAGGACCAATTGGTTGTCTTGCTTATGTTTTAGCCAATTTTCCTTCTGCTGAAAAAGACAGTGTTGGTTGCGCCAAGTCTTATAATGAAGTAGCTCAATACTTCAATTATGAGTTGAAAGAGACTGTACTTCAACTCAGGAAGGCTTTTCCTTCAGCAGCATTCACATATGTAGATGTATATTCTGTGAAGTATTCTTTATTCAGTGAACCCAAAAAACATGGTATGTAAAACCCTATATTTTACTCGTATTTATTTTAAAAAATTGTCATATTTAATGTGGTTTCGTTTCATATTGTAGGATTTGAGCTTCCACTTGTAGCATGCTGTGGCTACGGAGGCCTGTATAATTACAGTAGCAGTGCTGGATGTGGAGCAACAATCACAGTAAATGGCACCCAGATAACCGTGGGCTCATGCGATGATCCCTCGGTACGAGTCGTTTGGGATGGAATTCATTACACCGAGGCCGCCAACAAATTTATTTTTGAGCAAATATCTACAGGAGCCTTTTCTGATCCTCCTATTCCTTTGAAGATGGCATGTCACAGGACAATGGGTTAATATATAGGTATAAATCTATAGTTCATTATCATATAATCTAGGTGATCAATCTCAATAAAGGATGAATTATTCAATATGCTATGAATTGTACTATTCTCTCTCATAAAAATACGAGATTTACGAATTATTTTCATCCTACATTTGTGTTCTTGGCAGAGGATGGAACACAACTCCTGGCAAATTTAATAATTTCTCTTCATTAAGTGTTTACATCAGGCAGCCATGCAATCATTTTTTTTTAAATTAATGTAGTTCTTTTGATAGTTTATGCACACCTTAATTAATCATATAAATCTTAAAATTAATGACCATATAAATTTCTAGTGGTCCTAAAATTTAAAAAAATTAAATTAGTGATCTTTAAACAACAATAAAAGACATATCATTTTATTTATAAGAAAACCTAAAAACTTTAGAAATAGTAAAATATAAAATTTTTCTTTTTATAATATTATATATAAGATAATTTTAAAATTTTATTCAATTAAGTTTCTATTTAATTTTTTCTAGGTCTAAAATTATAATCCACTATATTAATTACATTTTAAATTTTAATTTTTAAAATTTATTTACAATCAAATCACACTTGATTAATAATTTCATTTTAATTTCTAACCAATATTTTTTTAATGTATATGACCAATTAGATTTTCTAATAAGTTGAATCAAATACAAATCATAATTCTAAATAAAATAGGATTAAATAAATTAATTTATTACCAATTTAATAATTAATTGATTTATATTTAAAGATCAAATACAATATCTAGTAACAGATCATGATCTCTTAAATATTTAAAAATTTATAAGTGGTTTGACTTAATTTTTTAGTTATCATTTTCTCAGTATAATTATTATCACTTTATCAAGAATGTTCTGATTTAAATATTATAACATGAAGTATATTTACTTTATTAAGTCATATTTTTTTAACACTACTGATTGTTTAAAGATTTGAAACTCTTTTTAAATTTCATTCCATATTGGTTAAAGATTTCACAATCAATACTATTTAAGAACAAATAAAATATTTTTTCTAATTTACCTAGAGTGATAAATCCTCTCTTAATTACTCAAATACTTTCATATAGTTTATGTTATATTTAATAGTTTCTCATTAGTTACTTTTGATTAAGACAACATGTAGTCAATATCAAAGCATAACACTTTTTATATAAAAAGATAACTTAATGATTTAAAGCCTAATGATCACTTACACAACTCTCATATGAACCTTTACATGGACATGAGTGATCTTTTCATATGGAATTCTTATGCGGGTTAGTTTAGTGTGTGATTAGTACTTAAAAGTGCATTTTTATCAAGGTTTTATATCATCATTTTGCACTTGAAGTATCAATAACTCCTTAACTAAAACATATTTTATAATAACATATCTAATAATATAAGATACCTTTAATTTGTGGTAAATATTCATTTTAAATGCAGGCCTATCACATAAATAAAAGAATTGATTGATGAATTTAAGAACTGAAATTGAAAGGACAAAGAGATGACCAAACTTAAAAAAAAGATATTGGTGCAGTCTAAATTGAAATATTGTTCAGTAATTGAGTCATATCTGGAACTGTAGATCTCATATTTAGGTCTACTTTATATGGATGGAAAGGTAAGATATAGGCATACAACTTAGGCATACAACTTTCATTGGAACCCAAGATTTAAAAAGGCTATTTTTAAGTTCAAATTATAGCAACAACAAAGAAGTCCGAATCTGTCCTACAACCCGTGTATTTTTCAGTGTTTGACCCATATCTGAAATTTTAGAAGTCCAAATGACCTCCTTTTTTTCCCTAGAAAGCTGAGACAATTTCTTACAACTTTCATGTTTCAAGTGGTTCCAATTCTAACATTATCAATGATGTTTTGGGCAGACAAAAGAAGATAAAAATTATCACCAAGTCAAGAGTTGGCCACCCACTCATTAATTAGTCATCAAATCAATAGTTCCCAATTTTAGCCTATAAAAGGAGGCATTTGCCATGCATTTAGACATCTGGGTTTCCATATCAAGATCATGCTCTTGCTTTCTCTCTTTGTATTTTTGTAATGCTTAAGTTTTACTTTTATTAATATTAAGTTTATGCTTTTCAATTCATTTCCTTTACTTGATTAACTTTTATCTTATTTATGTTCTTATTTTGTTTATTTATTTTTCTTTCTTTCATTATGTTTAACTAAGTTTATTATGTCAAGGTGAAAAGGTTATACTAATGGTGTAAAAATAATTATAGTGTAAACTTAATATAAATTTTAAGGTTTGATACTAACATGTTTTGTATTTATTATCTTGTTCATTCTTTAATACTTTACTTGTTAAATGACTAATCTAGATTTATGTTGTATAACACTTGGTACAACAAATACTTGGCACTCTTATAGCCTATACTGTATGGTATAACCGACACCTAAGCTATGAAATGAATTTGATTTGTTGTTAACATAAATTATAATTATGAATGCCTGACAAGATTTACAAGTATTAACATTAATCGAATAAGATAACTAATGTAATAATGTTAATAATTTATAATCTGATTGGAATCTCCTTTATGTGTGGTTTCCAATTAAATAATAAGAGTTTATACTATACTTGTTTGACATACCATTAATGGATCCTTTAACCTTGACATTTGTTGTTATCATTGTTTAATCTTTAATCTTCTATCTCAAAGTTCTTATCAACTTTTCTTTTTTTTCTTTTTTATTATTGTTACTACTACTACTACTACTATTACTACTACTATTACTATTATTATTAGTATTTAGTGTTATGATTATTACTATTGTTGTTGTTATATTCTATTTATTTACAATTTATACAATTAACCTCCCTGTAGCTCGACCCTAGTCTTGCCGGGTTATTACTTCGACACTTCTGCACTTGGAAGAAGACATCAATCTTTTGGTCGTGTCAAGTTTTTGGTGCCGTTGTCGGGGAGTTAAGTTCTTGTATAAATTATAGTATTTATTTTATTTTCTCTTTTCAATTTTCTTGTATATAACTTTGTTTTTTTTTTCTCTTGTTTTTTTTTCTTTTTTTTTCTTCTTCTTTTTATTCTATTCCTACACGTGTATGAGAGTGTGGTTACATACATTAAGTGGTAGACTTTGTAGGGTATCCTCATCATTTTCAAAAAATATGGCCGAAAAAGAGAATCAATCACTTCATAATGAGAATATTGAGAATAATCATGTTACAACACTTAGAGACCATATGAATCCCACAAGAACAAGTGCATCATCATGCATAGGTTTTCCTCCTGATGCATCTCATTTTAATTTTAAGCCAGACATTATTCAACTTTTACCTTCTTTTCATTGCTTAAATTTAGAAAATATATACTTGCATTTAAGGGAATCTAAAGAGGTTTGTAACACTTATAATGACTCAAATTGTAGCATGAACACCATCAGATTAAAGCCTTTTCCTTTTTCATTAAAAGATAAAGCTAAAACATGGCTACAAAATTTGAGACCAGGATCCATTCGTGTTTGGGATGAAATGCAACAACAGTTTTTAAAGAAGTTTTTCTCATCTCACATAATAAACTCTTTCAAAAGACAAATTACCACTTTCACTCAAAAACCAGAAGAAACATTTTACTAATGTTGGGATAAGTATTGAGACTTGCTTAATACTTGCCCTTATCATGGTTTTGAAACATGGAGATTGATTTCATATTTTTATGAAGGGTTAACACCTAAAAATAGGCAAATGGTTGAATTGATGTGTAATAGAACTTTTGAAGATAAAGACCCTAATGAAGCAATGGAGTATTTAGACTTGTTAGCTGAAAATGCTCAAAATTAGAACATCGCGGGTATTTATAAGGCACTGAGTGAAACTCAACCTTATACATCTAGTGGAGGTATATATAACTTTAGGGAAGATCATAACCTCTAAGCCAAGTTTGCATCTTTAGCCTAAGAAGTCGAAGCACTAGAATTGAAAAAGAGTGGTTAATTAAAATCTGTTGAAAATATTGTGTGTCAAATATACGAAACAAATGAACACTCAACCAATAATTGTCCAACCTTGCATTCTTTTAAGAAATGCCTCTATGAACAATCTCATGCTTTAAATAGTTTTCAAAAGGCCAACTACAACCCATACTCGTAAACATACAACCCTGGTTGGAGAAATCACCCAAGTTTCAATTAGAAGAGTGATAATAACAAAGTATAAACTTCACAACAATTATTTCAAACATATCATAATTTTTAAAATTCTCATCGATATGCACCTTCTTATGCTCCACCTCCTAGAAGAAATCTTGAGAAACATTGCATGTATTCATTGAAAAGTAAGAGACAATTAATACTCAACTTGCTCAGAACATAACAGATTTTAAAGATACTCTTGCAACATTGACATCTGCTCTCAGTTTCTAAGAGAAAGATAAGTTTTCATCTCAACCACAACAAAATCCTAAAAGGCAATATAATGCAAACGCAAGTAGTTCCGGAAGCCAATACATAGATCAAGTCAAATCAGTCACTACTCTTCGCAGTGGTAAGGTTATTGAAAAACCCATTCTTGAACTTTGTGAGAAAGATGATGAGTCAATCTCTGAGGGTAAGGAAGGGGTTGAATTTGAAATTTGTAAAGAAAAGATTGATTCCCCGCTAGCATTTCTATTTTCTCATGTCATGATCAAACAAAGAAAAGTTAATCACAACTCTGAAATCTTTGAAACTTTCAAACAGGTAAGAATCAATATATCTTTGTTGGATGCTATTAAACAAGTTCCTTCCTATGCTAAATTTTTAAAAGATATATGCACTGTGAAGAGGAAACTGAATGTGAAAAAGAAAGCCTTTTTAACCAAACAAGTAAGTATTATTCTTCAGAACAATAATGCTTTGAAATATAAAGAACCTGTTTGTCCTATAATTTCTTATTTTATTGAAGAACATAAAATTAAAAGAGTCTTACTTGATCTTGCAGCCAGTGTGAATTTACTTTCATATTTAGTTTTTTAAAGTCTCAATTTAGGTGAGTTAAAACCAACTTCTGTAACTCTTTTACTTATAGATAGATCTATAAAAATGCCTAGAGGAATAATTAAATATGTGTTAGTACAAGTTGATAAATTCATTTATCTTGTG